TAGAGCAGGCGCCTTGAACTCACAGAGATCCACCTGCCTCTGCCTCCTGAGTGCTGGGATTAAAGGTGTGCGCCACCACGCCCGGCTATTTTATTATTTTATTTTACATTTATTTGTGTGTATGTACCTGCATCTTGGGGCTCAAGCTCAGGTCATCAGGCTTGGTGGCAAGGGCCTTCACCTGTGGAAGCATCTGACCATCCCCTATTATATTCTTTTTAGTGAGTAGAGTGTTCCCTGAGGTTCTGGCAGGGCTAACCTAAGCACAGACGGTGCCTTCCCATTTCTGCTCCTACGCACTTTGCTGCAGGAAGCACACTGCTGGGTCACCTCTATGCACTGAGCAAATAGGCTGGAGGGACACATTCTCAGAGCAGGACTGCAGGGCTGCAGGAACTACACCTACACCATCCTGCTACAGGGCCGCTCCTTAGCCCCTGGCCACAGAGACCACACAGGCCCCTCCACCAGCTTGACACGCTAAGTGATATCTCAAGATGCTTTCTCTGAACACTGGTCACACAGCAAGACACTGTGTGGTTTCTGAGCGCTCATGTCTGTCAGACTGGGAACTGGCTGGCTTGCTTTGATTTCTCTGCTGTAGGACAGGGATTGTGTGAGACAGCCATGTTCAGTTTCAGTTGCCAAACAGGAAGTCTAGCCACCTCTACCATATCTATTTATCAAGAAACAGGATCTGTCACTGTCCTCATAGTCCAAACCCCACAAGGAAAGCTGCTTCTGCCACACCCATCCCCAGCCTCCCTCATTGCTTCAGCCACTGCACTTTGGCCAGCACGTGAACAGCACTGCCTGGGTAATGGGCTGAGGTGGGAGTCACTTGTCTAGGGTGTGTGAGAAATCCTGGGACAGGGTATTTCTTCCTGGTGGGACCTAGATATGGGGCTAAGGTGGCCAGGGCAGGCAGCCAGGCCAGACCTTATGTCCTCTTTTTCTTCTAAAATTGGTCCTTGGCACCTTCGTGAATCCTGGCTCACTGTTGGTCTCCAGTGTCTTAGAGCTGTCTGTGATGTCACTGAGTAAATTCTCATCCCTGGCAGCCATTCTCAGTCTCCCTAGTGAGAGGCTGGGTCTCTCCAGGCCATGGAAGCCTTTATGTCTCACACATAGACTATGGGCTATTCTGGGGGTAGGAGATGATCTTAGTTCCCATTTCACAACATGCCCACTGGAGTCACTCCCAGATCTGAGTAGATCAGAAGGCGGACTGACTATGGTCCCTCCAAGGCTCCACCACTACTTTGAGCTCTGAGGAGAATAACCTTGCCTTGCAAGTTCCAGGTGGCCTGGCTCAGCATTTGGGCCCTCACTTACCTACAGGCCCAAGAAGGAGCCTGTCCTATCCCACAGACCTGTGTTGTTACCATCCGCTCCATCTGTCTCCCCAATCTCTGCAGACCCAGAGCCAGAACCCATTATTCTGGAGTGGCCTGTCCAGTTGAAACCAGTAGCAGCCCACTCCTCCTGACCCCAAGGTCCTCTGAAGGAGGGAGCCAAGATCAGTAGCATGTGCTGGGGAGGAGAGAGGCTGGGGAGGATGCAGGGACCCAAGCAGCAGGGAAGGCCATGGCTGAGGGGTGTCATGTGCCCTGAAAGCTGGGCACAGTGTGATGAAGAGGACAGGACAGAACAGCACAGGCCACCAGAGAAGACTCTCTGCCATCAACAGAGGGTCAATGAAGGTGACCCAGCAAGTGGGACAAGTCAGCTGAAGCTGGATGCACAAAAGTGACCCAAGTCACAGTCACCTATGCAAGCCACTAGGCATTTATGTCCAAGCATGATACAGGGTACTATTAGTACCAGGTTGCCTGAGTCATGAGTGCCTCATGCCAACTGTAGGCATGGCCCACCTTTCTGCTGTAGTTATGGCTGGTGCTACAGTGCAGTGACAGGGCGCTTGCCTAGCAGGCATTGACCCCCAGCGCTGAAGCCTGTTACATATACCCTCTCCCCTCTCCCAAAAGCCCATGTCCACCTCACCTACCATCCCTGTCTGTTTCCAGAAAAAAGGGTGCAATTTCCCCAGCACCCCATGGCTGGTGAGCAGCAGGGTGGAACCCCGGGCTCTGGTTGTAGTCTTTGCTACTCTGCACCCCACTCCATGCTGTTCTCAAGAGGGTGAGGGACACTACCCCCCCCAACACCTGTGTGGCTGCTCGAAGGAAACGAATGCTCTGGTCCCCCGTTGAGCTCTGGGGCTCCTTCGGCCTCTGCCACTTCCTCTTTCTCCTCTTCCCGGACCTCAGGGGCCTCCTCCTGTGGCTGCTCCATGACTGAACTCCGCTCGGCGCCACGCCTGCAGGCCTGGTCATAGCTCTGGCATCATCTGGGTCTGAGCGCAGATGGACCTCCACAGGGCAGTTCCTGTCCGCCTGGGCAGAGGAGAGACAGAAGAGGTCAAGGGAGGCAGCGAACATGGGGCGAGGGTGTTGGTGAGCACGGACATGCTCTAGGATCACCATCGTGCATCTCCCATCGGCCCCATTCTCGTGATGTTTTCTGTTTTTTCCAGATAGGGTTTCATGCAACCCACCCTGGCCTTGAATTGGCTATGTAGCCAAAGATGACCTTGAACTCCTGATCCTTCTGCCTCTGCCTCTCAAGTGCTGAGGCTGCAGGTGTGTACCGCCATACCCAGAGGTCCCTGCTTCTTGTACTTTAAGTCATGTGCCCTCCTGCCCTTGCTTGTCTGGCTCTTGTGGCAGGTCGGTGGGGTTGAGTGTAGTTTTCACTAACCAGATAGGGTGACACGCTGCTGTGCCATCTTTCCCTGATTGCCTGCTCTATGAGTCTCCTAACAGTGTCAGAACGATGCCAACTGTCCAGTGCCTCCTGATGATTGTGGTGTACATCACAGCCCCCTCCCAACCCAGCACTGAGGCCCAGAACCACTACACAGCTCCACAGCCACTGTTCTAGGCGTGGCAGCCTGTCTTGCCTATGCCCACTGTGGAGAACGGATCCTCATTTGCACTGTGCTGGTTCCCATGGACCTCAGAGCCAGCACACCAGGGAGGGTGTGCCCTGACCTGGGGTCTTTCCAGGGGCTACTAGCTGGTGACCACAGTCTATCTCACCCAGAAACATGGAGCTCCAATCCTCGACCGAGCAAAAAACTGTCCATAATGCTACAGTCAGAGGTGGGAAAGACTGAGGCTATAGAGGGACTCCTGGCAGGAAACACTAGGAATTCATTCAGAGTACAGGACTGTGGAAAGCTCAGAGGGAGGATCTGCCTAGGGAAACTCAACCTATGCAAACAGAACCACCCTCTTTCCAGGAAGTCCCGACTTCATGTCTATCCACTGCTCACAGAAGCCAGCCTGTGAGGACCTGAGGCACCTCCACTTTCACCCTGTCCTGGGCCTGCCAACTTGACTACAGAACTGCTGGGCTTTGTGGAAGTGTGGAGGCCCAGGCCCATCCCTGGAGATGATCGTTTGATTGATGGGTTTGGAGAGCAGCTGGGGCCTTGGCATTTATATTTTTAGTTCTGCAGCTGTGAAGTGTGGTCAAGCTTGATGATCGGCACTGCCCAGCAAAGCAACTCCAGACTCACTAGCCTTTCCTCCCCACACTCTAGCTTCACCCAGTGCTGCCCAGGCCTCCTGCCTGGACTGCACAGCAGCCTCTTGGCTGGGCTCCTGGGCAGACTGGATATTCAGTCCCAGAGTCTAAGTGGTGGAGATCTGGGAGCTGGGTGCCTGAGGATATGCAGGGATACAGTGAGCAGCTAGCTCATCACAGGACATATTACTCAAGGGTAAAGAGGGGCACAGGCAGATGAAGGGGCAGTGGGCAGAGTGAGGAGACCTGGGGCAGCTGATAACTTCAGAACCAAGGGAAGGGCTGCTTCAGGGGGTGGTCAGACACCTGAATTGCCACAGGTTCAGGGTGATCAACTGTGATACAGCTGTTGGGTTCGGTGGCTGTGAGGTCATCAATGACCCTGAGTGAAAGGAAAGCCCAGGCTTCGAGAATAAACCGTAGCAGAGAAACAGACACTGAATGAGATGAACATGGGGACAAACACATCTGGGAAAGGAAAGCACCAAAGATGCCTGCTTGAGACAGGAGCTCGGCCAGAAAGAGGTCTCTGGAAGGAGAAGACTCCAGCAACTGTGGCTGGAAGAGAGGTCAATGCTGAGGGGAAAGTGCGGGGGGCTGACTGATGGGAAGGGATGGTGAGCATCATAGCAGTGTGAATGTGGCCGGCATGGAATGGCTCTAGGTAACAGAGGATGGATGGCTGTCTACTGTGAGCCACAGAGAAGCAAAGATCCATGTGTTGACACTTTGGCAAACAAGATGGAGGATTGAAAAGAATTACAGTAAACCTGAAATAATATTCAAAATACTAAAAGCAGTGTGGTACTGGCACAGGAATGGACAAGGAGAAAGAATACAGAGTGTGAAATGGATGCAGCACATACAGAGCCTTCGTGTGTGATCGAGACACCTGGTGCTGGAGAAACGGCTCAGTGGGTACGAGCGCTGGCCACTCCTGCAGAGGACAAAAGTCTTACTCCCAGCACCCACATGGCAGATAACAACCGTCTGGAACTCCAGTTCCAGGGACTAAGATGCCTTCTTCTGGCCTCCAAAGGCAATGCACACATGTGGTGTACCTACAGTGCATGCTGGCAAAACACCCATACACATACAATAAAAATAAATAAAAAAGCCTGTAAGAAAGTGCTAACACATATAAAAATTGCCTGAGGGGTGGCAAGACAACGAAGCCATAAAAGTTTTATGGGTGAACCGATTACAGGTAAAAGATTAACAAGTTTCACTAGTAGAAATACAAAAGCCCCATTAAGAAAAGCAAACCCCGAAGTTGGGCGTGGTGGGCACACCTTTAATCCCAGCTCTTGGGAGGCAGAGGCTGGCAGATCTGTGAGATCAAGGCCAGCCTGGTCTACATAGTGAGTTCCAGGCCAGCTGGGGTTACAGGGAGACAATGTCTCAAAAAAAAAAAAAAAATCAAAAAACAAAACCCATAAAAACCAACCAGGGCTCGGCATGTAGCTCAGTTGCTGGAGAGCATGTCCGACATCCACGGAGCCTTGGGTTTGATTCCCCACATGCCATAAACCACACCTGTAACCCTGAGCAGTGGTAGGAGGATACACACGAAGTTCAAGGCCAACCTAGGCTACTAGAGACACTTTGTAAAAAATAAAAAAAAGAGGTGTGTGTCACCAGGCCTGGCTACATGTGGTATTTTAATATGAAAGACGTTCAAGATTTCCCATAATAAGAAAAACACTAACAACATAGAGGCATGTTTTTAACAACCAGAATAGAATATGCTGACAACCAGAATAGAATATGCTGACATGTTGGGTATGTGGCTCTGTGGTAGAGACTGGGTAAGCATGTGACATGCTGGTTTCAATCCTAGGCACTGCAAAACAACAAAAATACCCCCCCAAACAAGAGGGCAATTAATTGCACAGACACATTATTACTGAGCATGGTATAGCCTCTGTAGAGAGTAACTGAACCTATCTTTAAAATTTATTATTATTATTATTATTATTGTTGTTGTTGTTATTATTTTGGTCTTTTTGAGACAGGGTCTCCTTGTAGCCCCAGCTGGCCTAGCCTGGAACTCACTATGTAGACCAGGCTGGCCTTGAACTCACAGAGATCCACCTGCCTCTGCCTCCCAAGTGCTGGGATTAAAGTCATGTGCTACCACGGCCTGCTAAAATTTATTATCATTCCTAAAATTTATGTTTATGAGTGTGCATACTTGCCTGCAAGTATGTATGTGCAGTATGCAGGTGCCTGGTGCCCGTGAAGGACAGAAGGTGATATTGGATCCTTGGAACTAGAGTTATAGACAGTTGTGAGCTGTTACGTGGGTGCCAGGATCCAAACCTAGGTCCTTTGCAAGAGCAGCAAACACTCTTAACCTTTGAGCTATCTTTCTAGCCCCCATTTTTATTATTTTTAATTATGTGTACAGGTGTGCTTGTGTGCAGGTATGTGCATGTGAGAACAGTGCCCTCGAAGGCCAGAAGAGGGTATCAGATCCCCTGAGCTGCAGTTGCAGGTGGTTGTGAGCCACAGGACATGGGTGCTAGGAACTGAACTCTGGTCCTCTAGAAGAACAGCAAGTGTTCTTAACTGATGGCCCACCCCTCCAGCTCTGGACCTATCTTAATCACAAATGCACGTATACTTTAACCCAGAAATCCCACTTCTGGGTTGCATCTATAGTTATACTTCCCTATAAGCAAAATGATAAAGCGTTAGTGACAAAGTTATTCATCAGAACATGTTTTGACTAGTAAGACATGGGGACACGGGGCCGGAGAGATGGTTCAGTGGTGAAGAGCACTGACTGCTCTTGCAGAGGTCCCGGGTTCCATTCCCAGCACCCATATGGCGGCTAACAACTGTCTGTAACTCCAGTTCCAGGGAAGCCTTCTTCTGACCTCCATGGGCATTGCACAACATGGGTGCACTTACACACATGCAGGCAATACACTCATACACATTAAAAAAAAAGAGGTGGGGACACAGGCTGAGGGGCTTCTAAATAACTATGATATGGACACAAGGACTTGTACATTGCCACAGACAAGAATGATTCTGGATTGATTTGGAAGCATCCACTGAGAGAATAGCTTGCAAAATGCAGAGCCCAGGCTACGTAGGGAAGTCCTGCATGTGTGTAAAGTAGCTGTGAGAAGCTGAAATGACACCACGGTCAACAAGGGTCTTGGGAGTTGGGGCTGAATGTCTGGGTCACTATAGAAAAAAGGTTTTCCACAGGACAGTCTGAACCTTTCACATTGAACTGCAGGCTGTCACTGTGACAGTAAATACTGATGGTCAACCTGACAGCACGGAGAAGAACCTGGGAGAACAGTAAAAACATGTCTGGGTGTGTCTGTGAGGGTGTTTCCAGAATCAATGAACTCGTTAACCCCTGAATGTGGGTGGCCAGTGGCCAGATGGACTAAGAGGAGGAAAAGGAGAAAGCCAGCAGAACACTCATAAGTAAGTAACATAGTTACCTTTTCCTTAAATGATCTGAATCAGAATAAAATAAAAAGGCAAAACTAACAATGGTCAACTGCTAAGTCTTATATTTCAGAAGCTGCCTGTGCTGGATAGCTTTAGTGTCAACTTGACACACCTGGGTTGAGGGAGCCTCAGTTGGGAAATTGCCTCCATTGGACTGGCCTGTGGCCATGTCTGTGGGGCATTTTCTTGATTGTTGAGTGATGTGGGAGGGCCCAGCCCACTGTGGGTAGTGTCACCCCTGGGCAGGTGGGCCTGTGTTGGATAAGAGAGCACGCTGGAGCAGGGGCCAGGGGAGCAAGCCAGTAAGCAGCGATCCTCCATGGCCTGC